AAATACAGCAAGAAATTTACTGGACTTTCTTTCATTTGACCTAAAAGAATCATATAAGTAAAAAGCAGTCTCCCAGCTGAGTCGTGTTTTATGTTCTAGAAAGATAAATTCTTCATTCAGACTGCAAAACAGAATTGTATTTGAACAATGAATTGAATTTAGGACTTGAACATAGGCTCAGGCACATTTAAGTAAGGGAGATGAGGACTTCATTCTTGCAGGACAGACAAATCAAAACAAAAAGTAGACACAGCTGTATGCATTTCTTACTTCAGCTTGTTCAGGCATGCTTCTCCATTTAAGTAGTTTCTTATAACTTTTCTGGACTCTCAACTTTTTCTCTCTTTTTTTTATTGGACTAGGTATAGCTATTTCCCTTTCTCCCAGCTGCCAATCCCTTAACCACTTCACCCTCATCCTTCTTCTATATCTACTTCTTCTTTCTTTCTCTTCTGTTAGTTTTCCAGTGTTCTGTAACCCTTATTTCTCTTCCCTATTTTTTCTATTCATCCCAATTACAAAATATATAGGTTGAATATTTTTCCTAAGGGCAGGTTGTCTTTAGACTCAATGAAAAGGCTATGGGAAATAGTGCAGCTCATCATTACCAAATTTCACACATACAGTCCCTAGGAAGGCAGTAGCAATTTTGATTTAAAATAGTGCGGTTCTAGCCCTCCTGAAAGGCATAGTTGCTGAAAGCCATCCTGAATTAGCATAATATTAGCATTTTTATAACAAGTGTTTGTGGGACATTTGAAATACCCCATGTCACAAAAGGAATGAGAAGATCATGACAACTGACAATGTCTTCTTTTAGATTGGCCCCTACCTGCATGATTACTCTGCTTGAAATGTGGACATGGTTTATATTTTACTGCAGTATAAAAGTGTGCATGGATCAGAGAAATTTGCAATGCAATAAACACAATGGTGTATGCCCCTAAATTAACATCCTTCTTTGCTGTTACACTGCAACTGTATCTGGGCGCCTGTGCACTGGGTAGATACACTACTGCACAAAAGAATACAAAACAGAGAATTTGGTTTCACTGGGATTTAGCTCTAACGCTTTCTAAGGAATTGCCATAGAATTTCTTCTGGAGAAAAATATGCTCTCTTCCTATCACATGCACACAAGACATGGCCGAGAAATTCGGGTAAGCTTAACTGTCTCCACACTATTGATCCTGTGGTTGTTGCGCCAGGCAATTGCAAACACCAAGTCATCACTGGATGTCAATCACAAAAATGAAAGGGGAGGTGAATCTGAATATGGATTCTGACATGCATTTTGTGTCTCTGAACAGCAACAGAAATTTAATCACCATCAACCTAAACCTTGAAACCTACACAAAACTGCATCTCAGTACACAATCTTTAATTTTGTTGCCTATAAAGCTGAAGAATTTGAAATGTTGCTATTTGGAATGCCAGTATGGCTAAAAATGTAATGTTTGACTTAGATAATATTTCAAAGAGGAATAAATTTTAATGAAAATATGTATAGATTATGATAAACAGAAGCAGAGAATATATTAAAATTTGGGCTATAAGAGCAATTCTGCAAAGTTTTAGTGTTCTGTGCACATTAACACTCAGTAACAACAGGGATGTCCAGTGCCTTTTCTTGAGGTGTCAGTGAAAATATTGATCTCTGCATGACAACAGGTCTGAGTAACAGTAGTACTTAAAAATTTGGCAAAGCATTATTAGTTTTAACTAGGGTTTTTTAACAGCAAAATTTGAATAGTTAATACTAATAAATACACTCTGTAGGACTGAATCAGAATTAAAATTATTAAGCAAATGTAAGAAGGGGTATCAACCTAACCTATTCCTGAGAAAAAAGCATGTACAAACATATGACCATTCGACAACATCGATTCAACATTTTGTTAAAAGATAGGAAGCAGCTATGTTTACTGTGGTTTGAGCAGATTTGCATTAAAATTACACATTAAAAAATAGTGAGAAGGGAGATGAAAAATTTACTTCATCCATCCTTCCTCTTTGAGATAAAAATCCAGAGATTTGTGCAACTTATTAATAAAGACTACTAATGATGGAAATGCTAGCGCCTCCCCAGCAAATCTCCTCTAGAATTTCTCTATTCTCAGTGATAAAAAAAAAAATGATGTAATTCAGAAGATATTTCTGGGCACCCACAAACAACATGATATACTCTTAATGCAAAAAGGACTTTATATGGAAATATGCCCTAACAAATGTAAATGTTTCAAGTCCTAGGTACTTTCTTCAGCATGAAATGCAGCCTTTCAAGAACTTTTTGCAGTAGGAACTAATTAGCACTCTGAAATCTGAAATGCTTAAATGCATGATTATTTGTATTATTCACATTTTTGCTCCTCCAGTAGTTTTCATGAAAGAAATTTTACTATCATAACCAGCTGCCATGAAATAGGATTTACTGAACATGTTTCTGGGTTCACAGGGCTAAATCATTCCTCCAATTCATGTGAAATAAATCATACTATTTGATATAAATGCTATTCATTATTTAAATATCATTAGACCATATGAGAAAGAGAAAATAATTTCAAGGCATAATTTGGATAGCCTGTTAGAGTTATGAAGTGCTGTTGATGATGCATTAAAGAGAGATAATTAAAGGAATTGGTGAAGTACTAGATGAATGTTTGAACTCTCTGTACAGTAAACTTATTTTGTGTAATAATAAATTTAATCATTACAAATTAAATGTACCAAATGAAATGTATACACCTATACACTATATGTGTCTGCCTGTTACTTGAGTACATCACAGAAATTATATGTAAGACTATACCAGGAGGAATGCCCTTAGGGAGGGCAGAACAGCTAAGCAAGGGGTCTTCCTCACTGCAGGCACAGCTGTAAGGCTAGTCTTGAATTAAAACTTGGTACTGATTTTGAAGAGCAATGAAGAAGTTAGGAACTTGCCCTGGATCTGCTTTTAAGCAACTCCTATAACTCTGGGACCCTGCTATGCAGATAACCTCAGAACTTAGATTAGCATGCACAGAACGTGAAGACGCTGAATCACTGCAGTGGATGATCTGGGCTACCTCAGGATCCCACTTCTGCTTCCGACCAAGAAGCGCGTCTTCATGATAGTAGAACGACAGGCATGGGAACAGCATGAATGTTCCTGAAAATGCCACAGACTGCTGAGCACGTTGTGCTTTTGGAGTAGTGCTTTTCTCCATATTTTAATCGTGTAAACTGATAGTTTCCTTTCTAGTAACTGAATAAAAGTTTTAGAGTCTTGATGGTTTGGATCTTGAAGTCAACTTTTTTGGCCACTCTGGGTGATGGAGGTCAGATTCAGTCAGACTGGTTGCAACCAGAGTGAGCAGAGAGAGAAAAGTGCACTGCTGGGTAAGGCATCCTCTATATCCCGACTGATCCTCATTTTCAACACCTGTTGATGATGAGTCCATCTAACTATGAAAATAATCTAATATACAAAAATTATGTAATGTATAAAAAAAGAGTATTGCAGATGTTCAACAGGGTTAACAATGACGGAATCTTAACTGTTCAGCTGAACATGTGATTCATTTTTACAATAGTATTAAACACAGGTTTGCATTGATTTTTTTTTCTAGAAAAGAATGTATGTCAGAAATTATAGTATAATTATATTATAATTTGAATTTCACTCTCACAGAGGGTTTTTTTTTTCCTTTTGCTGCTAATGCCTTTTAGATGTCACTTTCTGACACCAGGTTATCAGAGCTATAGCAGAGAAAAGTACAGAAAGAGCAGCTTGATCTGGTTCGTGTGGAAGGAAATTGCAGTTTCCATTCCATTCCTCTGAAGCTGAATAAAACCTTTCCTACTTCACAAAACTGATTTTCAGAACATAACAACTATTAGCAGCAACTTCTCTAATCTTTCTCCACTTCTAATGCCCATGAGGGAGTACTCTTTTGGGATGGAAAAATCCACACTTATCACCAAATTTGCTTGCATCTTTCTGTGAAATATCTGTTACGGAACAATTCTGGAGACAAGATATCAGACCAAATAGAACCAGAGAAGGTTCTTTCATCCCATGAGCTCCCGCTCTTAATGTAAGCCAAGACAGGGAAGTCACACTAGATTTGTCACAAATCCCTCCTGGATCCCCGTGGGAGAAAAGTGATGTTGGTCTTGCCTTCTACACAAATGCAAACGTGAGAGCTATGGGCAGCTCCCTGTCACATAGAACAAGCACAGTCCCAGCGCAGCCCAGCCACTTTGAACAGGGCAAAACAAGACTGAGAAAAACAGATATATAGCTAATAATTTATTTTTTCAGGTTGCATTATGCATCTTAAAGATTTTTTTTGTTTCGTTTCCTTTTTTTTTTTTTTTTTCTGTGCATTTCAGAGAAACCGTCCCAGCAGAAGCTGGGAAAGTAACGGGCATTTGAGACCGCGTGGGTGAAACAGGATGTCGGGTAACGGGGTGCGGGCGGCGGATTTGGCTCCGGGACTCCCGGTGGGCGTGTGCGGGAGCCACGTCGCTCCCCTCCCGCACCTCCGCCTTCTCCTGTCGGGGCTGGGGCAGCTGCCAAGGTGGGAAAAACCCTCCAGCGCCCTTTTCAACCTCCAACCGTCCACTGGGGCAGAGAGGGGAAAAAATTAAAAATTCACAAAACCCCTCTTCAAATAAATCGCGTTCCTTTCCATCGGCACCGCGTTGGCGCTCCTCCCCTCTAACCTTCTGGCGCCCAACGGGCCATCAGGGTACTCCCGCCATGTGCCAGTTTGGGAAGGTGAGCCTTCCCAAAACACAGCCACACTTGCGTAAACCCCTCCCCTCTCCGGACCCGCCGGGTGCCGTCTGTGTCCCGCTCCCCAGGAACCGCCCCCGCCGGGCGCGCATTGGCCGCGCTGCGCCCGCCCCGCCCCGCCGAGCCGGGGGCGGCACCGGCCGCGCCCCCGGGCCGAGCGGCGCCGCAGCGGAGCCGGACGCGGAGCGGAGCGGAGCTTCCTTCTCGGCTTGGCGAGCGGGCGAGCAGGGGCGACGGCGCGGGCTCGTCTCCCCGGCTCAAGGCGAGCGAGCCGCCGCCTGTACGCCCGGCTGCTGGGCAGGGCGAAAGACAGACAAACTAAACGCCGCACAGCCCCTCAGTCTCTGCGCCCACCTGGTTTGATTTTATTTTAATTTTTCTTTTTTTCTGCCGTAATTATTTCGGGGCGAGGGGAGAAAAACCCCGAACATCGCCGTGTTTTTGGCAATTCTTGCCGCGTGAGGAGTTGTTTCCCCGCACACCCCTGACAAACAAAGGAAAAGGGGGAGGGGGCCCGCGTTTCGCAGAAGACATGCGTTCCATCAGGAAGAGGTGGACTGTGTGCACCATAAGTCTCCTCCTCATCTTCTATAAGACGAAGGAAATAGCGCGGACCGAGGAGCGCCAGGAGGCACCTCTCACTGGGTAATTGCGGGGCACCGCGCCGGGAGGGCTCCCCGAGCGGACATCGGGTCCGTGTCGCTGCCCGCGGTCCCCTCCGCGTCCCCGCCGGGCTCGGCAGGTGCCCCGGCGCCCCTGCCTCGTTTCCTGCCTTGGGAACCTGTCGGGGAGGTGCGAGCGTGCCGGGGTGCAGGTGACTCCTGTCTCCGTCCTTGAAGTTTTGCCTGGGAGCTCTGCATAACTTCAGTGCTCCTTAGGGATGCTTGCGCTGGGAGGGTGTGGGTCATCCCGCTTAGCTCCGGAGGTTTCAGTCTCTCGCTGAAATCGTCTGTTACATGCTTTCCCCCTCCTGCCTGTCTTCAACTGAAAACAAAAGGCGAAGAGTCCCTTGCTATTTTTCTCTTTGCACCTCAGCTTTCTCTTTGTCGGTCGTTGTGTTTGCGTACGGGAATACCAGTATTTCTCATTTTTCTCCCAACTTGTAGCTATTCTATGGAGACGCTGGGTTTTCAGCCAAGCTGGTTTCTCCTTGGCGGGGTATAAGATTTTGTTTTCACTGGAGGGATGCATAAAAGTCTTGGTCGCTTAATGAAATCAGCAAAAGCTGATTAGGGGCTCACACTTTCTGTTTGCTTTTGCAAGTCGCCTGTGGGGGAGAATGCCGTTCACAGCAGATTTTCATCTCGTGTAAGCCCTTGTCTTAATCTGAGGAGGAGGCATAAGGGCGTTGTAAGTACCCGTACAGGCCTGGAGGAAGCTGCAGCAATTACAGCCTATTTAGTCCCCTCTTGGCCCTGGAGTTAAAGACAGAAAGTGTATCCCTCCTCCCTGTTCAGGCAGTCTGGTGCGACAGCGGAGCACAGGCAGCTGGGCACAGCTGGACAGCAGTGGCCCCGGAATTCCCGGGAGCAGGGGCTTGCCTCACTTGTGTGTCTGCATTGTTTGCTTCCCATCTTATTCAAGATTGTCACAACTTGCTGGTATCTTTCCCTCTTGTTCAGCCTGGGTGTACCCAGTTTCTTCCACAAAGCTATCTGTAGACTTAGGAGATGTACAGAAGTTTAAAATTTTGGGGTTATAGGTGTGTAAAAACACACATGAAAATCAGTGTGTGAGGCAGAATTGTCATTAAAGATACCCATTAGTATGTACTCCTTCCTGTTGGACTAGAGGTAGTTGTTAAAATTATTCAGAAATTGCCATATCTAAGTTTGCAAAGAAAAACCCCCTCCAGCTTACTGCGAGAGATTTGACACAATTGAAAAGGTACTAAAATGAACTGATGTTTTAATATTAAAGGAAAGAAAATAAGTGTAATTTGTCATATTGTGTGTTCTTAACAAACACTTTAAAATATAGTATAATGTGCTTCGGCCAGGTGATTTAGTGATATATTTATTTCTTTGTTATCAGTGAGATTTCTTGTACAGCATGATGCTAGTCACTTTCACTGTCGAAATATCGTTTCTCTTCACAGCCTGTCATCCCATTCATTACTGTATGAAACAGAAAAAAAATCCTAAGTGTATTACTACTATTTGCTGCCAGTACTGGTGTTACATTTGCCTTTCTCCAGAATTAGGGGTTCATGACATTTGGTTATTTTTGACTGGCCATGTGGGCGAGTAAAGTCACTTTTCTATGGGATGTTTTACTTTCTGTAGTAGCAGTAATGCAGAACTATGAATGTGCAGGATGGCACATCTTATGATTATTATTGACACCCACCTTGGGTAAATTGAATATGTTCCAAAATGGACTATATGCAATTCCAAATGATACGATAAACCTTACACCAGCTGTGTGCTCTCATAGCAAAGTTTGCTAGGACAATAATTGCAAAGCACCCCCTGCTTCAAATAGACAGGAATGTCCCTTTAAAGGTTAAGCAAGTAATGAAACACGGATTTTATGTGCAATGCAGTGTTTCTTAAACAGTGTCATCTTCCACTGATATGGAATATGCTTGAAGGAAGTTACTTTGTTTAATGAACTATCTTCAGGAGAAGGAATTGTCTCATGATATTGGTCTGATTGGTCGCCAAGGCAAGGTGCTTCAGAATGAAGGCTGACGCTGTCAGCCATAAGTTGCTGTCACATTTTGGCAGCTGTTTCATTTACATCAGAGAGGATTTGCAGTGATTCTAGAAGATTCAAAGTAACCCAAATTTATTTCAAAGTTATTTACACAATGAAGAGTTACCTGGAGAAATTTTTTCCTTTTTTATGTGTTAGTTTATTTAATATTACTTTAAGTGAAAATTGAATAGAACAATGCCAATAAAAGGGAGAGGAGGATGTAGGTGAGCACATCTGTTTTCATAGTAGTACTTTAACACAAAGTGACTGGGACTTTCTTTTAGCTCATAAGAACATACTTTAACACTGTTTTAAAGTACAGTCTATATAGCTCACTGTCGAGCCCCTGGTGGTCTAGTGGTAAAGGCGCCGCGCTGTCACCGCGGAGACCCGGGTTCGATTCCCGGTCAGGGCCACTCCCGGGCAGGTGGGGCTCGTTAGCCCTTAAAAAAGGCAACCCACCTACGTCCTAAGGACCTCGCTGCCACCGTCCAAGCTCGCTTGGCCCCGGCAGATGAACCTTAGGATTAAAGGGTGGGCTCAGTTCCGCGCACACTGTGTCTCACCTAAAAAAATCCAATGCGCAGGCTGGAAGGTGGAAAGACCTTCCCCGGATCTTCGCTCGCGAAGACTGGCCATATATATATAGCTCACTACAGATGTAAATTGTGAAGATGGAAGAAAATGACATTTCAAATGCTATGGTGCTTTAAGTGTTGGCAATATATTTTGTTGCTAAGTTTTGTCAACTGTCTCATGTTCAAATGTCTGCTAAATAATATTTGACCGTGAATAAACTAGAGACATCTCTGAAGTACCTTTAGACTGAGAACTGTACTTTGATGTATTTTGGTAATCTTCCTTTACATGCATGCACTCAATGCATCTAGAAAATATATACAGGAGTATATATGTAATAAATACTATTACAACCCCTGCGGAAAAATTTTAGGGAATTAAAAAAAATTAATATAACAAAAATATAAGTTGCATTCTGATTATTGAATTTAGGGACTTGTGCAGCATCCTCCCATGCCCTCAAGTTAGCGGTATTTGGATAATTTGCCTCAGGTCTTGTACCTTAAGTTGCAGGTTTTCGATAGGTGGCAGCCTTACATCTGCATCGGTGAGATGTCAGGGCTACAGAGTGTTGGCGGAGGGGACGGGGGCGGTGAGGGAGAAAATGCCGTGAGTAAAATCAGGGCTGGTTTTGGTGAAGTGTATAACACTGGTTTGTTACTTTTTTTTTTGAAAATTTTTTTAGAAATTACTACATGATACCAATCTTCTTAATTTAGCTTGATTAAAGTTCCATGGCAGGTTAGCTTGAATTTAGTCTGCTATATAGTTTACCAATTTTTACCACTTTATATATCCTGCAGTAATGTTACTGTAGTTCTTATTAAGGGCTGGGATCCAATTGTTTTAAGAATTTACAGCCACAGGAAAACAAGAGTCAACAATTCCCTGAAAACTTTACAGTCTCACATCTTTTCCATTTCATTTATTGAAGGGCTGTGGTCAGAAGTTCTATTTGCAAGTTATATTGTGGTTATCGGCAGCATTTCAGAGCATGCTTATTTAACAGAGAAGGAGATTTCTATATTTTATTGTTCTGTGTACTTGTGAGTTACAAGACATTTTACATGGTAGAATGTTATATTCAACAACTTTGATATATCTACAATTAATAGCTGTGTTTGAACTCAGCCGAACATTCCTCTGGCACCTAAAAGGGAGTGGTATGGAAGATAATGGAAACATATGGAGATAAAAGTTGATTTTACTGCTCACACCTTAAGTTATGCTTTCAGTGTTTTGGATTGTCTATCCCATTTATGTGACCCTACTGGCTAATATTGCAACTGATAACGTTATGATAGCTCATGTGATGTTCAGTGATTCACCCACAACTTATGGTATTTTTTTATTTTTTAAGGTTACCTTGCCAAAAGTTATGAATATTACAAGACTGATGGACAGGATAAGACAATTGGGATGATTTGGATGTGTGCATACAAGTTTCAGCAAGTGACAGGGAAATTTTGTGGTTTGTGTGCCATTAAATTCTGGAATTTTGTCCTTTAAAGTCTTTAAGTATCAATAGGACCCGAAAGAATTCTGTTAGGCCAGTATTGCAGATTTTGAGCAATTGGTGGGCACAGGCTTGAAAGTTAACACTTAATTGTTAGTTTAGTACTAGAAATTTGGAACCTAAAAGTACAGAATCTACCTCACAGACATAAAGTTTCATCCAGGTTCACAATTTGTAGCTTATTGTAGTCTTTCTTATGTCTATTTTGTTACAAATATAAACATATTTAAGCTCTTAAATTGCGTGTTTTCACTATTAGATATATCTGTGTCTTAGATTTTTTCGCAGTTACAGTTCATTTGCTTTAGAAAGCAGAGAGATAATTACTTATTTTTGTGGTGAATAAAAGGATATATTGCTGATACTTGGGATGTAAATTACTTAAAACTGGAGTTAGCCTTGGTGTAATTGTGTCATTTCTGTATTGCATTGCAGAGACGGTGAACTGAGTTTGAGTAGATCAATGATCAATAGCTCTGATAAGATAATTCGAAAGGGTGGCTCCTCAATCTTCCAGCATGCTGTAGAAGGTTGGAAAATCAATTCTTCTTTGGTAATGGAAATCAGGTGAGTGTCTTGAATGAAAAGCAGTTCATTTCATATTACCTGTAATTCTTTTCATTCATGTTTCTTATAATTTCTGTGGTCTGGAAACAATAATGTGATTTACCGTTCAGGTGGATGGTTTGTAACTATATATTTAGGTTTCAGTGTTAAGTGCAACTGCATTGCATTAGACTTCAAAGTCATCCTTCGTAAGAATTAATAAAATGTTTTCGTCTGGCTGTGGCAGTCAGACCTGTGCAATCAGCGTCTACATTATGCATGTCCACATTTAAGCCGCTTGTTTAGAACTCTTCCACAGTCAGTGGTGAGAATCCGGTACTTTTAGGACATGATTTCCTCTCATCCTAAAGGTTTGAAATAGAACAGCTGAAAGTATTGCGAACATAGCAGTTTTCTTCCCTTAACTACAGAGGGAGCTTAGACAGACAGCTTAGATGCAGGAGTCAAGAGCCAGGGCATCAAATGCTGTGAATCCAACTCTGGCCATAGTTGGTCCACATGGCAGGTCAGGCACTGACAGTATCCATGTCTTAGGCAGTTTTCTTTCTTTAAGTCAGAGAAACCAAAACGAGCCTTAGGCTGCTGCTGATAGTTAGAGTGAACATGGCTTCTCTGAAGGAGGAACTTATGCTATTTTATGTCCCTAATCCTAAAACATGCAGAAGATAAAGGTAGCTCAGAAATGTATGGAGCTGTAGTAAAGGCCTGATGTTCTGGAAGCCTTGTGGTATGATGGACCTAGTGCAGCCTCACTGCAAAAAGCCAAGGAGCAGCATAAAGGATGGAAAGCGTAGCAGGATTTGGGTAGGCAGAAAATTAATACTGTGGAGGATGTAACTGTCACTCAGCTGCTTGTCAAGTTCTCTGTGGAGTCCCCACTTCTTGACTGCCTAGATTCAAGGACTTCAGTCACTTAGCTGTGTTTCCTACTGATGAAGACCATGTGGGCACTCCGAAGTGCGGCTGAGGTGTGTTTTAGGAATGGGGTTCGTTCCAGAACCATCATTCAGTCTGTTTGATCAGTCTATGATTGTTACATAAAGGCTGATTTCTGCTCCAGGACAGTCTAGAAAAGATAAGCAGATTGTCAACATCAGTGATGGTATTTAAAATTTGTGTGCATATAACTGACAATTTAAGTTGGAGAAATGTTAAGTAACTCTAGAGGAATACTGTTGAAACTTTGTTTCATAGGCTGTGGGTCTGACAATTGGAAGAAAACAGCTGTTTGTGAAGTAAGCTGATTTGGAAGCTGTTGAGTGACTATAAGTAAAGACAGATAAATATTTACAGTAATTTTGTTGAAAAATTGAGTATCGTATTTCAGAACTATGTAAAACCAATATGCGTTGCTGCTCAAGCCAAACAACAAACAAGTAAAAATATTACAATAACTTTTTTGATGAAAATAAGGAGAAAAAATGGAGCTTGGGTTATGGTAACTTTCCATCTGTTTCAAATGCAAAATACATCATTCAGACAGAGGTAAAATACTAGAGAACGGTTTAGATTTTTTTCCCAGCTTGTTAGTACATGTGTATCATCTCAATGTACTAAAATCACAAGTTTTGAAATAATTTTTTTCTTTGCTGTGGGCTGGAGGGGGAACATTTATTTAATAAATTATTGTTGCGCACTTAAGAAGCATCATGATGTGATAACATTGTTTTTAAAAAAAAGTAGTGCAGGGAAGGATTTAATTTTTTGGAGAGGTCTCATAAATACAGTGGAGAAAAAAGTATACCCTGTACCCTAATTTAAGCAGTAGAGGTTCTACTGTATTGTAAGGTTTTCTGTATAGTAGAGAGCATCAAGCTGAGGTTATGTCCACACTGCCAGTCCTGTTTCAAGATGAAATAGCTACCACTGTGAACACTGAGGCAGAGAGCAAGTGTTTTAACTGAACCGGTAAAAGAATTTAGATTAATATGATTTAGGGCCAAAAGCTGACATGAACTATATGAAAGGAATCAATGCTACCAGCCAGTCATAGTCTTTCCAGAAATCCTCTTTGCTGACATAGCATAACAAATTCAATTATGGTACTCAGCAGTGAGGGAGGGACATTTGGCAAGCTTTTCACTGAGGAAGCCACATGCAAACCCTTGTGAGATGTGTTTCAATCTGATGCTGACTAAATGATCTACTTTTTCTCACTTTTACAGGTGGCTTGCTATATGCTTTTCTTCCCTGTTACAGCAGTAAGAAGCATTTTGGCTTTATTTTTACACTTACACACCTACCAGGACTAACTTCAAATGTGTCTAGTGAAGTCCTAGAGTGTTCTTGTGGTTTAAATAACTATTCAGCCCTCTAAAGTACATATAGACCATGAAGATGATTTATGCTTCATTGTTGCAACTATTAACATGAACAGTGGTTGGTGGTCTTGTGGTGTGAGGTTGACCATAGGAAGTAACGGTAAGACAGAAAAAAAAAACAAGCTAGTGCCTGTTGAATTATACATAAAACATTTTCAGTTCTTAGGAGTGGGGAAATAATTTGAAAAACCATTAGTGTACAGCATAAAGATATTTCATAAAACTTAAATAAAAGACAGCTACTTTTATGTCTTATATCAGCTTTACGCCTGCATTAAAATTTTAAAATGAAGAAAATATTTGAAAGTGAGCCTTGCTTTGCGCAAGGACTCTTGTTCAATAGTGTGTTGAACCTAGTTGGCTGGCATCTAGAATATTATTCTTTGCTGTTTGCTTTGTTGACTGTAGGCATTATCTCTGACCACTTATTTTTGCTTAGGATAGTGACCAGTCTGTCAACCTCAAAGGTGAATTTTTGGCAAGGCCAGGATCAGATAGGAGTCAATGAATGAAAAAGCTCCTTTATCATGACCCCATGGAAGGATGGAAAGCTTTCACTTGGTTTCTGATGCTCTGGGACTTTGCAGCCAGAAAAGGCAGACTGAGGAGTGTAGCAGCTTTCCTGGGAGAGCAGTAGTACTTTGGAGTTGTTAAGCAGACATAAGAAAGAAGAGCTAGACTTTCTGTGATTGAGGAGGAAATTATTGGTATTATTAATTACTTGAGACTGTGGGAAATTTGACGCCTTGCCAATCATGACTGGTCTGGTGGGAGAGTGTTTTTTCCAACTAATGTTACCTTCTGATTGCTGACAACTTCTTTGAAGAATAATAGGTAATTCTTGTGTCTAGGGAGGGAAGACTGCTTTCTTAGTTCCCTTTCTGTCTGAATGATTTCTGTTGTGAGGAAGAGAATGTGCTACAGTTTTATACCTTACGTCCTTTCTATTCTCTGTAGCAATGTGAAGGTTTTCCTTATGGTTATGAAAATAAGGAAACTTCAGTTGTACTGGAAGCCATAGTTTCAGAAAGGAGGAATGTGTCTGAGATGGTGCAAACTTACCTGGGGAAGAATTCTACACAGGGCTGATACCAGCACATCTGTGAGCTGTATGAAATGAACTACAGCCTGATGTCTCAGTGTATGATTTTCTTCCACTTATTTTTGATTAAGTATGGGCACTTCTAGTGGAAGGAGCAGAAGGTTTTGAATTGCAGGAAGGCAAAATTTAAAAAAAGTACATTGAGGATGTATTTATCTCTGCAATGTAACAGAAAATTTCCTGTCAGAATAGTGTGAGAACTTGTAAGATGTTAACAGCATCTAAAGAAAAAAATAAGGGCAGTTTCCTCCTTAGTAAGGTTCAGATTATTATCGTTGTTTGTCTTTCAAGTTTACATGAAACAGCTATGATAAGTCCCTGAAGTGCAAGCCGTATGTACTGAACTGGCAATGGAGCACTACGATTGGTTTGAAGCTTTTGGAGCAACATTTTGCAGCCATTTGCGCTGTTTCCTTCAGATCTTCCGTGTGTCAAAGATCTCATACAAACTGGGACTCTCTGGTCTGGTTTAGTCGTAATAAACTTCAGGGGATTTTTGCTTGCCTCTCTACCTTGCTTATCCTCATGAGAAGCTGGCATATGGCCAGCCTTCCTATGGTAAGCCTAAGTTGTCATGGTCTGTTCTTTTCCTTTTGCGTGCCCACTCTCCTGTTTTATGACATTCCTTTTTGTGTGGCCTCAGTTGTCTGGGGGCTGCCAGGAATTGTCCCAAGGTTATTTGCAGTTAGGCATGTTTTTAACAAATCCAAATTAGTGGTTGGACTAGATGACCTTTAAAGAGCCATTCCAACCCAAATTATTCTATGATTCTAAATCTGCTTTCCTTGAAGAGGTTTTCTTTAAACTTCATTTCAGTCAAACTGAAGTGAAACCCAAGAGGTGCAAACACCCACAGTCACTACTGCGTCATCAGGAAGCCAAAAGGAGCTGGAACTGCAGCCATCTACAAGGGCAAGCTGTGACCTTTTGTGACCACAGAGCTTGTTCTCTTGTGCTTTTTAAAAAACTAATTTAGCTGAAAAAAAGCATGCTTTATCTAGGCTGTAGTCCTTGGTAATTTCAAATGCTCAGACCCACCTTCTGCCTTCCAGCTGAGGAGCATGAAGCAATGTCAGGACTTGCTAGGGTGAGAAAATCGAGTTGTTTGTTAGACCTGTGTGAATTAGTCAGAGAAAGTCTGCAGGAAAGCAAGAAGAGGAATCAGAAATCTACATCATGACCTGCACAACTTAAAAAATAAAAGTTTAAAAAAAAAAGCAAGTTGCTTCTTGTCCTCAAGTAAATGAAAGATTTTGCTAAGAGTGTAGTCTGCCATCCACAGGCAAATTGCTGTGGGAAACGTGCTAGCGTGAGGAGTATGGTGCTTCTGGTAAGGCTAAGAAAGCACTGATATAGGCTACATAGGGAGTTTGCCAGGTCCCCACCACAAGAGGTTATTAGGAACACATTAGATAAACATAGGCTGGAAGGCTTGTAGATCTTCAGTGCATAGAGAGAGAATTAGGCAAACACTTAGTTCCATAATGTGTTAGCTGGTGTTCTAGCCCAGCTTCCTGGGCACTGAGGATGCCCTTTAGGGGCTTCCCATCATGGTTACTGTCCAGATGAGCCCAGATGCCCCAGCAGTAAGGGTTTCTGGCACTGCCTTCCTCTAAAGAAATGATTTTCCCAGGAGAAGCATTGGAGGTCATATTTCAATTTTGTTGAGAATTTCTAAAAATATAAAATGATTTGTAATCTTAAAAGTCAAATGATTTAGTCATTTATTTTCTTTCCCTGATCCACACAATTCTGCAGCAAATGAAGAATAGTTTGACATTATAACAATTTTGTGGTACAAAGGCTACAGTACCAAATAAAACTAAAAAAAAAGGAACAAAAGGAGAAAAATGTCACCATATTACCCCAGAGCAATACATAGTTACAACATTTGGAAAGCTGTTCAGAGACATTACTATCTGTTACATGAATTTTATCAGATAACTGGGAGTTTAAGTAGATACTTAAATATTGTGAAAATCTGTTTCTGGTTATCAAAATAAAACCTTAGGTCAGATTGTGACACTGTATGTTTGTGAGTCAAGTAAACATGTTGCAAACAGCTACTTGGCTTCAAATAAGAGTGAGCCACATCTGTCTCACCTGCCCACAAAAGGGTTCAGGCTACACCCATGATAGAGTTTTATTTGTCATAACAAAACTTGGAGACCTCAAATAAAACTGTTTGTTTATACATCTTAGCTTAAGGTTGCAGAACACATTTGCTTCAAGGTTTGCTAAAAATCATGCTGTTTTTTTCCCTTGGTGGAATTGAGCTTACTTTGAATTTTATAAGCAGTTTGAAGTGGATTAACATTAGCTTGACGTTATTTTGTCATGTCGGTTTAATAAGAATAACCTTGTTGTGCTGTTTTTTATTCTGTGGGACAGAACAGAGATTGAAACAAGTTCTTATTAATCAGCATGAAACACTCATGAACGTATGTTCAGGTTTTGTCACTTCTCTTAGACATTTTTTTTCCTTTTAGCACTTATGTGAAAATGGGAAGTACTGCTATCCCCATGGAACAGATGAGTCATCAGCACAGAGGAACTTAAAACAATAGCATGAATTCTGCATTCTTTATCGTATTTCTTCCAGTATTAAAAGATATCTGGATAGAGTCAGACAAATCAATAAAAATATTTTAATTTTAGCAAATCTCTTATAAAAGGATTCTATTGTGTACTGTAATACCTGAGTGTACATTTAATTGTGTATGCTAATGACAGCTTCAGATAAGAAAACATTTTTAAAAATATGAGAAGACGCTAAGAATCAGTGACTTCTACCCATCTCAAAATTTTATTGTAAAATAAATTCCTTAGACCTTTTAGAAATTTCAGCTGTGTTAAGTACGTGATTGATTATCTGATTTTAATTCAGATTCTCATGAAAGTCTTTGGAGGACTTCTCTAGCATATTGATAAACAAATTTTGAATGTAAATAACCAAATTAATAATGGAAGCTGAGGTGCTTTTATTTTTTTGTCATTCTTTGCATAACTTCACTGCCTTCCTCTTTTTAAAATAGTATATAGGATACTGTATTCATGCACAAACGTTGCTACTTTTTTGCTATCAAGAAACAGTTTTATGCCCATTCATTCTACCTATCGTAGATGAGTGCTTTAAATTACTAAAGCAAATCTTTTCGTGGTCACATGTGACTTTTTCTAGTCAGAACTCTAGGTTACTGTACACTTCACATAATTTTTTTGCTTTTTGAGACTTGTGGTCACCCCTTCTCAAGTCAGAGTGGATGTGAAATGAGTCTCTGGATAGCTTAGGTGATGCTATTCATAGCTTTTGATGCATTTGTCATATCCTTTACAGACCCAGCTATAGCAGCTCTGTTCCTAGATACTGAATACTTTTAGTAGATTTTAATACTTCTAGATTGGGAAGTTCCTTCTTTCTTACTCTTTTTCATTGTGTAGCAATTCAAGTATCTGTTGCAGAGTGCCCACAAAGTAAAGCCATCAAACCCATGGAGATTTTAAATCCATTCAACTTAAAGGCTGAAGCTGAGCTTTCATCTTCCTTTACAGTAATACCTTGCCTGGTCTTACCAGAAGCAACACTCAGGATTTGCCTATCCTGCTCTGTTATTCCGAGCCTCAGAACAAGCTGTCTTTGCTCTGATACTGCTTCACTCATACATGACAGCTATAACTGATAGCCCAAGACATACCAGATATTCTTTCCTTTTTTTTTTTTTCCTGTCCTACTTTAAAAAAAGTGAAGAGTCACTTGAAAAATGTTTTTATCATGTTTCACTTCCCCTGTGGCTTTTAAGATCAGTTCCATGGTAAGTATTTTGTGTCATTGCTTGTAAGATTCAGACATATTCTTCCTTTTTGAGGCAGTGACATTAGACCTGGCTCGTGAACATGGATGTTTCTATAGTTCATCCCTTTTAACTTGTGGGGGATTATTTCCCTTTATGGCTGTAACTGAGTGTTGCAACTGCTAGAGTGGCATCTCTAGTTATGTTTTCCTGTTTTGATGTTCGCTAAGGAAGTTCTGCTCTAAAACCTCAATATTTAAAAATAACATTCTCTTAATGAAATATCTATTCTCTTTCAAATTTCACTTTGCTTTCTGAAAACAGTGGAAAATATAAAGTTTTTGTTTTTCTTGTTTTGTTAAATTTGCAGCGGCAAAAGCATCTGTAAGAATTATCACATGCTGAACACCCTGCCCCAGCTCAACACTGTTCTGTTCCTTGAGAGTATTGTACTTGTGTTCAAATGTGGTCTTATGTCTCTTCACACACATACATGCTTCACAGAGCAAGGGTGGACACAGGTGTGTAAGGCTTTGCTTATTTGTAGTCCTGAGCCACCAGTGGCTCTTGCAGCTCTGGCCTGGAGTCCTTCCCAGCTTTTTATGTCAAGTGTATACTGAAAACTGCTCAGTGCTGTCAGTGCAGGTCTTATTCATCTCATACATTAGCCATTCCCTTGCAGTTATTAAATGTCTCTTTTGAACTTATGTGTGAAAAGTGTGCCAGTTTTTGGACCCCAGTCCCCAGCTGTCATGGGCAGAATGGAAGTTCTGAATGGCTGGATCCAGTCTTAACCCCAGACTTGGTCACCAGTTTATGTTTAAAGGATTGTATAGGTGCAGTTGAACCTATGCATAGCTCTGTTCCACAGGATTAAGGGTAGGACACCAAATATACTTACATTAATAAAATAAATTATTTATTGATGATCATAATGATAATTATTAGATTAAAAGATTTTGATCAGAATTATTTATGACACAGTATATAGAGAGTTATACCTACTAAAGTAGTGCACTATTTATTGAAGCCATGTTAGAGCAATGATACTAAAGCTAGCAAAACAGTTGAGCAGAAATTGATGGTACTCACGCATACCAGTGACTGTGGGCAAGTCTCTTTTGCTCGGCCTTGAGAAGTAACCTTGAGAGGGGTCCCCACTTGAAGGAGGAATCTCCATACACTCTCCAAGAAGGGCTGTGTTAGAATTCCCTACCATTAAAAAGAGGTACTGGGCTTTTGTAGTATAAAGTGATTAACTGTCAGTCATACATCTTCAGGCCAGGTGTGTCAACTCAGCAGCTTTAAGTAAGTGATCAGCATTATCACTTGTTGGTTCCTTTAGCAGGAGCTTTGTCTGCTGCATCCTCAGCAGTGCCAGTTTCTGTCAGGAAAGATTATTCTTCACATCCCCAGAATGTTTAACTTTAGGGTTGACAAGTCAGACCAGTCTCAGCATTCTTCAGAACTAAAAGTAGGGTCATCCACCCTTCTCCATTCCCCACTGATAACTTTTGCAATTAGAGTCAAGTTTGAACTCTTTTACCCCCACTTAGGCAAAGCATCCTGATGCACTAACCCCATAAGCAGGTACAGTTACCATGACTTGACTTCTTCAGCTGACATAAAAGCAACCATTCTTCACCTGTTACTTGCTGTAGACTGGGAATATATAACTGTTTAATTGCCACAGTTCACTTGATCCATGGTAGCTTATTAAACCAAAGTATTTTGGTCACGTGTGTCTGTACCTGTCTAACAGTTTAAACAATTAATTGCAGAGAAGCACAATAAATGGTTCAAAGTGATGAAGAGTTTATTAGTGGTTTTGAGTTCAGCTAACAGCTTGACTAGACCCTGAATTGCAGTTTAATTTGCAGTTTAAATTTTAGTTTAATTTTTGTTGAAATTGGCACAAAAGACTGTGGGTGTTCTCATTTCAAGTTAATTAGGATAACTTTAGCTGAACTTCAGTTAATTAGGAGGAAGTTCATGCTAAACTGAGTATGTTACTCTTACGGTGAAATACGAATCTATAAGAGACAGGACCATTCCTGAACCAACCTGATTTCTAAGAGATAACATTTTTTAAACCATAAATACTTTGTATATTCAACTGTGTATGAAAACAAACCTCCACAGTCCTTTTTAAAAATGTATTTGTTCCAGAATTTCGTAAAGATAGTAAAAATCTGTATACCTTCTAATTTCCATAGTTATCTTCCCATGGTCTCCGGGCGCCTTTGTCTATAGAAGTCATTAAGCTCTATTTCTGTAGTATTTATGTTATATTGTAACCACATTGTTATGTTATATTGTAACCACAATCTGAACAACTGATCTGTCCTAACAGCTTTGCTTTAACTCCATCCTAGAGCATGACAAATGACCTTAGTATGACTGACACTGCCTATCCTCTGCTTTGTGTTGTGTGCCTTGTACAGTCTGTATTGGTGTTTAGATAATCTCGGTTCCAACAGGGAGTGTTGGGTTTTATCTTTGCATTTTTCTGTCAATGCAGAAAGAACATTCTTCAATTCTTGGATGCTGAAAGAGATGTCTCAGTGGTCAAAAGCAGCTTCAAACCAGGAGATGTAATTCATTATGTACTGGACAGGCGTCGCACCCTAAACATCTCTCAGGATTTGCACAGCCTTCTCCCTGAAGTTTCCCCAATGAAGAATCGCCGATTTAAAACATGTGCAGTTGTTGGAAATTCTGGTATCCTTCTGAAGAGTGGCTGTGGAAAAGAGATTGATAGCCATGACTTTGTAATAAGGTAAGTTTTCATCTGCTGTTGAAGATGAAATATGTTTCTTGGCTAATATTTTTCTTGGAGAAAAGCTAGGAGAAATGTTTTAACCAGAGGTATATACTATAGGCATTATCTGAAATTAATCTGAAACTATTCATTGCTGTGTTATTCCTCATATTTAAATACATACTTGTTTTATTGACAAGGTTATTTTTACAGTGAAAATAAAACAAGGGCCAAGGAGAGAAGCTTGTGCTGCTTATTTTTGCTTTTTACTGTTCTTATTCCAGACAAAATAAATGTTCTTACAGAGGCCTTGGTAGAATAAATGCAAAATATTTTCTCTCAGAAATTACTTTTTCTTAGCTCTTAGTCAATACAGATGGCCTTCTGTAAATTACTTTAGTACTTATGTTCAGCATGGAGTAAAATTTTGATATGATGTATTGATGCTGAACCAGGCTGCCGTTAAGGTAGTTGGAAGTCACCCATCTATATTCCTTCACATTGCTCTAATAACACATTTCTGCAGTTTGGGCAAAAATGTTGATATGTATTGCTTTTTATTCATACTTCAAACATGCATAGTGGAATTCCTTTGGATTTCACGTATCAAAGGGGAAAACTGACCTCATTTAACAACTTGGCATTATATAGAGAATGTTGAGCAGGAGGCAGGTCCTTCTGCTTTTGAAACAAAAGTTTCAACTGGTTTGGTTTGAGGAGGATGAAAGGGCAGAAAACAGGAGGGTAGTAACAGAAAACAATGTAGAAATAGTAGTCATTGTGAGTTATTTGCTTTTTCTTTTCTCACTTTCAAGAAAGATGGTGGCAAAAAAATATCAAAAGGACAGAGAAAAAGAAAAATTACAGGTTTTTAGTACGTAAATCAAGCAGGATATACATGAAACTTGTATTTCATTTGAAAGGTGAAGCAATAGCACATTGTTCTTTCTTTTCCTTATTTGTTTTGCTTGTACCACTAGGTATTCAAATTAACATCCTTATTGCAGAAGGAATTCAAAAGTAATTACCACATTTATAAACCACACTTAGGCTATGGCAGGCTTTTGTACTCTCTCTGACATTAAATTTGATTAATTTAACAGGACTACAGAAAAATTTAGATACTAGATTTTCTGGATGAAAATTTTCTTTCAGAAGGCAAGATACGTACTTTTATTTAAAGCATGTGCTGAATTTCTTTGAGGTTGTCCCCATGGTCTCCCCAATGTTTTAACTAGCCATGAAACTAGGTGATGATGTCTGGTAGGTTTTAACCTATTCAGGCTATGTGGAAAAAAGATAATATTCTTAAACATTTGGTGAAGCTTAATAGGAACAGTAGAAGGTTACTGTTGCTAATCAGCTGGACTGGAGAAACTTATGGGTATTCTGTGAGAATTGTGAGAAACCAGCATAGGTTGCCCAAAGAAATTGTGGATGCCCCATCCCTGGAAGTGTTAAAAGTCAGGGTGGATGGGGCTTTGAGCAGCCTGTCTGTGAAATATCTCTTATATGGTATATGACTAGTAAAGTGATCAATATAACAATTAGTTAGTCTGACAGTATCGTGGTTAATAACCTCTAAGGTTCTGGGAATAGGATGCTTGGCCCTGCTCCCCATAGGGAATTTTAACACAGGGTTTGTTGTTGTTGTTTGGTTGGTTTTTTTTCATTTGCAAATTAAAATGTTTTTGAAATCATCTATCTGATAACTTAAACTATATGATATTTATTTATGTAAGTCTCCATGCACGCCTATGTACATAACATCTGTTTAAAGTAAATAGCAATAATTTGTTTGTAGTTCAAGTTAAAGAAAAAACAGCATTCTTCAGAGTTACATTTTCCCATATTCCTCATCTTCCATTTAGGGAAAGTTATATGCAAAACAATATGTAATCACGTGGTGTAATTACGAAGTTCTGGTGTACTTCATAAGCATTCACCTCTATTGCTATTAGGATTCTGATATTAAAATGTACCATGACACTCTGTTAATACTTTTGTTTTCAGCTTATCTCTTTAGAAGTGAAATGCACTCATTCTATTTGTCCCCTGGTGATGTTCTGAAAAGGAGTTACTGTATACCTCCAGGTGTGTAGGCTGGTGAACAACATTTTTGTAGAATCTTCTGATGCCAAGTACATTATGCTTATGTGCTGTGACAGTATGTCACACTGTTTTGGTTAAATATATTATCCAGTCATTTTGATAGTATTCTATGGGTTTTTTTTTTTAAATCTGAAGGAAAATTGTGTCTGAGTTGTTTCTTAGAGCAGCAGTTCTGATGTTATACCTAACACAAACAATACCGTAAATTTAATGGTAAAACTGATAATGAAGGTCTGTGAAAGTGAAGAGGACACAACAGATATCCAACAGTATTTGCAGTACAATAAGCTCAATATCCTATAGAGGTAACATGAAGGTGTTAATAATAACAAATACATGCACAGAAGTTACACAAGTTTAGTGAAGTAATCCCTATTTTGACAGTAGAAAATGCATTCCATCTAATTAAAATGCAAATCAAGGAGACCCTTTGCTATTAAAAAAAAATCCCAAACTGTGGCAACTATAAACTACTCCCTGTTTCCCATATTCTTTTCCTTTTTACCTCTCATGCTTTAATATCCTGTTAAGTAGCTATTCGTCTACTACTCTTGCAGGGATGAGCTAAAGCATCCTGCATTTTGAGACCCAGAGAGGGTCTCAAGCATTCCTAAATCTCTAGTAAGAGGAATAAGTACATCTTATTCCCCCATTGTCCCAAAATTCTCATGCCAGATTTGAATTAGCTGTTGCATCTTAACAGAGCAGATGAACTTGTTATAGTAAGTGGGATGTTTTGAAATGCAGTAGGTACCTTGAACTTCCTGAATAATGTAACTATATTTTAAGGTAAGTGCAAAGTAACAATGCTAAACATTGCCAAGTAATAACTTGGAACTACTTCTGGCAGCTACTCAGTATCAAAAGAAATTTAGTTGAGCTGTGTGTTCAGAATTCAAACAATATCAAAGATGAGAATGAATTTTTTTTTTTTTTAAAGTAATATAATTCAACATTCCTGATGAGAACTATTCAAAAACAGAGGCCAAGTTTAGTTTTGGAGTTATTTGGTTAAAACCAACCAGACAAACAAACGAAGACCTGGTAAATAATATTGTGTATTTTCCTGTGGTGACACCATGTCTGGAAAAGTCCCTTTCATTTTAATTGGACTATGTGGAGAACAGGCCTGTTGAGTGAAGCTATTTGAATAGTTTAGGGCTGCTCTGACAAGGAGCAGCCATGAGAAGATATTGCTTCATTCTTTGAATTGAAGTGCCTAGTTTATACGTTACAACTCCTCTTTTTTCACTGGAATTATCTCCTGCTAACTTGTATCAGCATTTAGGAATCAAATGGAATATTTTTACCATCAGTGGTGATAAAATTTTGCTGTGCAGATGCAGCTCTTTATTTTTCCAGAGCACTTTGATTTTCATTTTTTAACTTGACAATTCTTGTGGTTAATGAAGTTGACATGGAAAAAACTTGCAGTCTTTTTTTTTTTTCTTTAAAAAAAGGAAGAATATGTCCTTTAATAAAGTCTCATTTTGCAAGGAGGAGGATAATCTGTTTTGAGTCTTTCCATAGTGTATTGATTTTTGTGGAAAATTGTGATATGCAGAAGTAAGCATGATATATGGTATGAGCAGAAGACAGCGTATATGGTGAGGAAGAACGACAAACCTAACTATACCTTGGAGTTGTGGTTGCTTATTTCAGCAGAGCACTTTAAATTGTTAAGAGATTAGTAGTAGCTTCTTTAATCTGCATTTTTCATTCAGCTGATAGGAAAAAAGTAATCATACATTTGGCAAAATAAAGATATTTAGAATATTAATTTACTTGTATTCTGGAACTTTTTTTTTTAAAATTTGTATCAGCTTTTATGTCAAAATACTTTTTAATACCCCTTTTTTGGACCATAGCCATTGTGCTGAGTAGAGCTGAATGCTTGGAGAAAGCAGATCTGTTGAAAGCAAAGTGGCCAATTTAAAGGGCATATTTTAAAACATGATTCTTCCCTTAAAAATAACATCTGAATACATCATGACTAGCTCATTAGACCTTTTTCAGATTTCAGATGTGACAGCCCTATTTTTTTCCTTTTCTCTCTTCCCAAAAATTGTTACACTACATTGAAATGAAAGAATAATAAAACCATCATCTTCCAGTGCTCTTGCTCAGTGATTTCAGTATCTGAGAAAGGGGAGCACCAGTGTTGGTCTTCATTGTCAATTACTCAATTAGGTGTGGGTGGTCTCCACCTCAGGGGAGCCTCAGAGAAGACCTTAATTTTTGTGGCCATGGTTTTTTTTGTTTTTTTTTTTTTTAAAGGAAGTTAATTCTTACAAAGTATATTTAAGGACAGAAGTCTAGAAGACTCAGGAAATATAATAAAAGTGACTTTTGTGCATCCATAAACAAGTGATCAAGAATTCCAAAGAGTCTGCTTAAATAGTGTCCTATGAGCATCCAAATGTAGGGCTCACAGGGTTAACCTGAATCTTTTTATAATATGGTAATTTATCCATAAAAGGATAAAATTATTTTCAAGTTGCTTACTCCTGCTGTATATAATACAGAGCTTTTAATTTAGTAATTTTCTGAACAGTTGCAAACTCAGAAAAACTTCCTTTTTTGTACATTGACTGTTTTGAGAGGTGACAATATTCAGAACAGTCTTAGTCCAGATGTTGCCTTTTTTGCTGTTCTCCATTTTGAAATGTTCAAACTACTGCTTCTTTCTACATTCCATAATAATAACTCCAAAGTGCTTCTCCAAAACAATGAAAATTATAATTTTGTCTGAATTTATTGCAAGAGTAATAAAGGTTTTTCAACCCTTTTTGTCCTCACAATATTGCAGATTTTTTCTAAAATTTTCTTTATCAGAATTATAACACTTTTTCAGCATCTTGATAATTACCTTATAGAATATGCTCTTTGTAAATTGTAATGTGTAA